TTGGTTCCAACCAACAAATTTTAATCAAGCATGTGAAAACATTTCATATTGTGGTATGTATGGTTGTGGTGAAGATTCGAGGCGAAATGGATAATCGGGAATGAGTGTGGTTGAGCTAGGAAAACAAGATCGGATACATACCGATGGTGGAGTTTTTTAAATTTGAGGGGCTTTAAGAATGCATTCTAGAGGTTAATAGAAGCGGAAATAAGATAGAGTTGAATGGATTGTGTGAAAAAAGTTGTTAAAGTTAGTAGGTATTTATACTATATGAGATAAATGGTAAAAAAAATTATAAAAAATTTGGTTCAACGATCAAAAGCGAAATTGAAGAGAAATTGTGGCGTGGTTCCACCCACGCTGGGGCTTTTGAGCGCGGTCACTCTCCTTGCCAACACGAAGTTCATGTGGGGCACATCCCTTCCACATTAGTGTCATTGGGCTACAACCCTTGTATAACACCCAACTTTAGTGGCAAACTCGTCATGCGGCCCTTGATAACACATAGCCTTAGTAGCCAGTGGCGAGGCTAAGTGTTGCTATGGTGGGTCACTTCACCCACCTTTTTTTTTAATAACAAGTTATATAAAGTTTAAAATTGTGACCTACCTAAAAAAAATTAAATGAACCACCTTAATGACAAATATATATATATATATATATATATATATATATATATATATATATATATATCATTTTTTTTAAAGTTCATAATCTATAATAGCCTAATATTTTTTGAGGTATAATTCAATATACATAGCCCATTAACCTTCTATCATCATAACCACCAAACCAATTTGTCATCACCCATAAATAGTTTACATTGTTCACTATGTGAAAGTTAAATAAACTATGTCGAAATTCTATCTCCAATTCCAATAATCCATTAGCATCAAAAAGTCCATGAGGACCGCTATCGTGTGAATTGATAATTGATAATTTAGTTGTAGGTTTAATTGCAGTCGTAGTTGTTTTTTATTTTTAATTATTCATTGTTAATACTTATTCCATGAGCATCAAAGCTATTGAACTTTTGTTAATACTTATTTCTCGTTGGGTACAATTGTAAGAACTTAATTTTTTTTCCTTATATAATTTAACCCGATCCGAACCCGCAACTACAATTTTTTGTTTTTTTTTTTAATTTTCTATTGATTTTCTATTTAAATAGTGAAACATATGGTTTTACGTTCTAGACTCGTCACTGTTAGTAGCAAACTCGTCCAAGTTGGAGCTTTCACGACTAATAGATAAATTACACATACTTAGGTCATAAAAAAAATCAAAATTAAATACATCAAATAAGCAAAGTTTGGCTAAACTAACCCTACCTTTTTTTTGTGTCGTTCCAAAATAAAATTAAAAAATAAAATGGGGTCCTTTTCGTAATCCATCTAGCCAAAGTCCCTCGAACATATACATATACAGTCCGAAAATTTATATAGTTGTTTAGCGCATCTCTAAGATTTTCGGGTATGGTGGCAACGCGCTTGGTTGTGAAGAGACACCAGATCGGCAGCTTCACTCCACCACCACCTTGGAGGGGCGGTGTTCTCTTCCACCACGTCGTGAAGAGATATCAAACGAGAGAGAGAGAGAGAGAGAGAGAGAGAGAGAGAGAGAGAGAGAGGACTCTCGGTGTTCACTTTCCATGCGCTTACATGTCATCACCATAACCTTGGCGTGTCGAGTATACCCTGCGGTCTAATTATATACAACATGTTTACAATTCATTTCGTTCAAAGTCCTATTATTTTTTTTAGAACTCCAAATACAAACAACCTTGGCGGGCAGTGAGTATACCCAACAATCTAATTAGATACAGGATGTCTACAATTCATTCGGTTCAAATCCCATTACTTAATACTACATTCATCTTTCTCACTTTTTGGTAGGGATATTTGATTAATTTCTTCCCCACCTTGAATGCAATCCTCTAATGTATGGTCAATTGTTCTGTTCACCATCGTCATAAATAAAAGCCGGACCTACCCCAAAGTCAATATATGTACTTGGAAAAAAAATTAAAAAAGAAAAATAGATTACTTTTTATTATACTACCGTTTCCTAAATAAATGTGTTATCACAATGAATACCCTAATAAAAAAATGTTAAATCCGCTAAAGTACGTACCAATCAAGAACTTTATAAAATTAATTTTCTTTTTGCTTTTTCATTGAATAGATTATTCTAGTATCCAAAGTATTAGCAATGAAATATTAAATTTTGGAATTAAAAACTTATCCTAGAAAACACGAGCCAATGGGACCTCAAGAAACATAATTCAGCCCTACAACTGAAGCATTTGATTAAAAATGCATGTGACCAACAAGACATCATCAGCATGGGAGTGGGAATGATGTATAATGAAGGATGGCGTAGGATAAGATTGTGAAAGTACAATGGTACCAATTCTCTCCTAAAACAAGGCCTGTTTCCTTTTTCTTTTATTTGAAATCATAAGAAGGAGTTGTTCAAAACATAATATCAATGATTTGTAACAAGACCCACGAGTTCCTCACGACACCTTAATTGGTTCAAGTGACCAAACCATTGGCAGTCTTGTACTATGTTTGACGTGCATTGGATTTGGATTGACGACAATGTGAATGGGACAACGTTGAACATGGCTCATTGTTGATCTCTCGACAGTTCAAAAGGAGTGAATGTTTTCCTCAACTTCATTAGTAATAATAGCCTTAGAAAGTATGTCTTGCCACATAGTCTGTCATTTCAATGTATAATGTATCCCATGTAACAAAACAACCTAAAAAGCCTAAACGGATGGAATGCTATGCAAAACCATCATAATCATCAAAAGGGTCACATGATGTCCATGAAATATATTTCTCTAAATTACCATGTGGAAAGAAAATGAAAACAAATTGAAAGCGTCAAAAGTTAATAAAGAAATAAATAGAACATACGAAAACACAATAGTAGGATAACAACATATTTGAAATGTAATGTTACACTAAGAGTGTTTGGTTCACACGATAGTGGGGCTACAATACATTTGAAATGTAATATTACTCTAACGTGTTTATTTTTGAAGGAAATAAAATGTTTTCAGTCTTTTTCAATATCTATAGAAGAAGATGTGGCGCAAAAGTCTTTTTCAAATAATCTTTTGTAGCGTTTGTTTTTGTTTCTAAAATGTTTGCAAGTCTTTTTGAAAAGATAAATGCTAATTCAACCAAGAAAGATGTACTGCTTGAAAAATCTGTCCAAGAAAGATGCATTGAATGATGCTACTTCATACCCAGATTAATTATAAAACTAATAGATTTCGATCAAAAATTGTCCAAGAAAGATGCATCGATTGAATTGTGCATCGAAAGAGAACTTGGGTTTTATATATGCATTGATGTGATGATGCACAAGAACCATTCAACCAAACCTACAAAACATCCATCTGGTGGAAGGGGAGAGAGATACGACAGAGTACACTGTACACAGTGGTGGGTGCGGCGGCAAAACAAGCCAACGTAGAGGACAAAGGCGATGGTGTTTTGGTGAAGGACGATGGATGTTTTCAATGGTTCGGATAGAGTGATGGGAATGAGGGAGACGTAAAAAAGAAACATTATATTATGGATGAAACTAAGATGATTTTTTGCAAAAACTAGAAACTATTTTTTTGTCTTCTAGGAAAAAATGTCAAAAAAAAACTTTTTTTTATGCATTGTGTTCCAAAAAAACAATTAGTGTTTTGTTGAGATGTCTTCCCACCGCACACATATATACGAGAAGAAAAATAGCTTTTAATAAATAAAAACAAAACAAAACAAACACTACCAAGTGTTTGATTTGCAAATTGATTTTGGAAGAAATATAATCTATCAAAGAAAATAGAATCTGATGGAACTGAATTCCACAGTGATTGTGGAAGAAATGTGATCAATCAAAGAAAACAAGAAATGTGATCTATCAAAGAAAATAGATTGTGCCGGAATTGGAATCCACGCGAATAGTAATTTATCAAACGTTTGTTTGGCAAAAATGAAATGAAAACAATGAGCGGTAATTCACTTATAATCAATTTTATTTGTTTATTTCAACATATATATATATATATATATATATATATATATATATATATATATATATATATATATATATATAATGAAGGTATCTTGGTCTTTTGATGAAAAAAAACATAAAATTGAAATGAATTCCTTTCATCCATCCATTAAACATAGTTTAAAAAGAATCTTTTAGAACTGAACATGTAATGTGATATCAAATTTCGACTCCGTCAGATTCCATTAAAATCTACCAACTAAAAACTTAAACCCATGGCTTCCAATTTCCCTCCCCCCAAAATCCCTTACATGCCGTTTCACGTTACAAATTACATTAATAATTTAAATAATAATTTAAATACAAAGACAAATATGAAAAACATTATATAAATCCAAAGCTAAAAACATAGACAAAGAAACCCAAATTCATTGTTTGGTCATAAAGTGTACGAAAAAAAAAAAAAAACCAGAAGTTATAAACACAAATCCAAGACATCATCATTAAAAAATCAAAGATGGAATTCAGAACTGGTGTATGATTCAATTTTCATTTGTCAGTTGTCATTAAACAAAGATGGACATGCCAACCGTATCAGTTTTCATTGGAATGTGGATTGAGGTCGTTGTGGGCTTTGGGCAATGTTAGATTGGGCTCCTCATGGGCCCTGGGCAGTATCTAGCCTCCTTGTGTTATTTAAAATTACAATGAACTAAAAAACCTCCAACCCCAGATAAATATTTGTAACTATTTCATGGACCCCTGGAAATATTTGTGTGCCATCAAATTAAGGATCATTTGGATTGAAACTAGGATCAAACTGATAATTCGAACCTAAACAATCACACAATCATGGGCAGTAGTCTCAATAACAAGATAATCGCTTCCAATTTCCAAATACTAACTACGTTCTACCTCAAGAATCCATGATTTCTTTAATGGCATAAACTCAATCTTTCAAATCATTAGCTTTTCTTTTAATGGGTAGTAGTGAAGGGGGGTACAATATCGTAGCATTTTTTAGCCAAATGAATACATTGCAACCAATGGAGAGTCTCCGCATTGGGGTCTCTTTCAACAAAAACATCAGAAACAGTAAGTTGGAGTTTACCTCTGTAGATCGTAGCCTTGCCTCGCACTCGAGCTGAAACCCCAATTTGGATTAGGGTTGCGAAATTGCGAGCCGATTCGGCAATTAGTCGAACATCTGGTGGGCTACGGCGGGAATGATAGGGAGAGGTGAGTTGGTTGAGCCAAAGAACACAGGGGATGCACCCGGTGCCATCATCGATGGTGAATCTAAGGAATATGTCGGGTTTGTGCTCTCGGCTAGTAACCACGCCTAGGGTTTCTGCACGAGAAATGAGGAGGGTGTCTCTACGACAGACGGCGTTCGGTTGAGTAGATGACGGCGTTAGTGATAGGAAATCGAAAGCCAGCAGCTTTACGTGAGTATTGTGTAGAGCTTCCATGCGAAGGGGCGACGATAAAGCCTCACATTGTGTGAAAAAAACTTCTATAAGGAACGGAAAAAGATGACTAGATGAGCAGTAGGTTTTACAAATTTCACGTAGACTATCTAACCATCTTCGATACTCTTCAACAAGGGGTTCTGTCCTTCTGGGAATGCTTATTTAACTAAAAAAAAAAACTTTATTAAGTTTATTGGTTTTTGGCTGACAAGTCGATAAATGATTTTCAAAGTAAATTCCAAACATCATGGACAGATATAGGGATTAATTACAAGATTGTCTAAAATAAAAGATCCGTTACAACCTATCAACGAGATCAAATAGAAGGTAAATTAAGAGGTAAGGAGATCAAATAGGAGGTAAATGATAAGGAGATAGATTACATAAATAAAACAAAATAATAGATCATAAATATAAACATAAAGAAAATATACACACAAAAAAAATAATAATTTTTTTTTTTAAAACCAAGTCAAACACCGAAAACGTAGATATTATAAGGTTTGCTAGTTGATATGTTCCTTGATTTGAAGAAAGGGAATATTATTATAAATGATGATTATAGTGATAGATTCCATCACCTCTTGAGTTTTGCAAGAAGAGTCGCACCGGATGACACTACAAAGATGATGCAATTTGTTAGAGGCTTACCTTGGAACTATCAGTTTAATTTTCGGTGAGGCGGCCACTCTTGACATGGCGGTAAGGAAATCAAGAAAAATGGAGAGAGCATTGGAAGAAAGAGACAAAGGGATAGGCATATAACACAAGAGTATGAGTACAAACCATGGGAAGACTAGTTCTAGTTTTAAGAAGAAGAAAGTTGATGATAAAAGCAACAGTTGGGAAGGAAAATCTAAGAATCAGGAAGAAATTTCATGCTTCGGTTGTGGTGAGAAAAGGCATTACTCTAGTCAATGCACTAAGGGCATCCACAATGCATTGAACTTCATATAGTTCATTGGATTGCCACATTATATTTCTACAATTCATACAACTCTATCATTTTTTTCCTACAATGCATTGAACTCTACAAAGTTCAATAGAATATTACAAAATGTAATTTATAGTATATATTTAAGAATTAAAAACTTTTTTTTTTCCGTTGAAGAGTTCAGTGACCTCCAAATCCATTGAATGTTAATATGGCATCTCACAATGGTATAGTTTCATCTATTGAATGACACCTATGTTTGACACCTCATTCAACTCTCTCTCATTGAACTCATCATTGTGGTTGCTCTAAGCCACCAAAGAAGACTTCACAAAAATGTTATTCTTGTCATGTAAAGGGACACATGGCTTACAATTGTTCGAACAAGAAGAAGGAAGGTGAAGTTAAGAAGAATAACCCTCCACGGGCAAAAGGAAGAGCATATTGGATAACGGGCGAGGAAGTTTATTAAGCCACTAATGTTGTTTAAGGTAGATATATATATATATATATATATATATATATATATATTATTTTTAGTTAATGCAGTTGTTTTAGGTAGAATATAATATATATTTTAGTTAATGCTTTGAGATATAAGAACTTGTCCTTAACGTGTGGCTATGAGTGATAATGAAACATACAATCGACTAGATGAGGATGAGGATGAGAACCATAAACCTTGTAAATATTATAATTATACCTGGAGTAATGTAACATCGGTTTTCTTGGAGGAATCGAATTAGGCTTTTAGAGGGTCAAAAGGTTGGATTTTTGGAGAAAAAGAGGTCCTCACGATGTGAGGCATGGAGGCTCACGACATGAGGAGGGCCGCATGAAGATTTTATCCGGGACTGAGCTCATGACGTGAGGATTGTTGCAGCCCAAGCCCACGAAGTTTTAGGGTTTCCCACGTATTTAAGCCCCCTTAACTCAGTTTTAGGGTTCATTTCTCAACCCCCACCTTCCACTAACTCAAAAAACCCTAACCATAATCCAGCTTGGTGATTTTGGATCCATTCTAGTGTTTTGGTGGCTAGAAGAAAGAGAATGAGAAGTCCTAGAGTGTTGGTTTAGCAAGGAGGCTTCATCGTCGTCATCTTATGCACATTTTGGACCATTGTAAGTGTCTAAGATCAAATCTTTATGAGCTCAAATTGCTAGATCTAAGTTCTAAGCTCCTTTTTGCATGTTTATGATGGATTGCATGCTTGAGATCCATAAACTTGGTAACTTTATGGATTAATGAGTCATTTTATGTGATTTTGTCTTATGGATCTGAAGTATGGTTATAATTTATGAATCTTGTTTGAGTTTGGGGCCATTTCTTGTCATTCTGGCCTAAGATGGGTTTAGGACATGCTTGGGGCATGCATGTCTATCGAGTAATCGTTTTTATTGGCCTTTGGAGTCCTTGTTAGCTTCTGGAAGAATTAGTATTGAAATCTTAATGGTTTAAGGACTTAAAAGTTGGATTTTTAGCCTCATATTGTTCTCACGACGTGAGACACAAGGTCTCACGACGTGAGAAGCGTTTGGTCCCGTTTCTGGTGATCTACTTGAGGCTCACGACGTGAGAAGGCTTCTTACGACGTGAAGGCAGCCCCGTTGACTTTCCCTTGGCTAAGTCGGCTAGGTTGAGTCGTGATGAGTTGGGATCTGTTTGAGTGAGCTCTCATGACGTGACCAAGGCTAGTCAAGACGTGAGATATGGTTTTAGGCTTTGTTGGGCCATTGGATTTTTGATTGTGGGCCATGGTTAGGCTATGGGCTTCCTGGTTTTTGGTCCCATGATAGTTTTAGGCCCAATTAGGAAGTTGGGCCATATTGGGCTTTGAGTTGCCATCTTGGGCTTTTGTGTGATTGGACTGCGCCTTGGTTTTGGGCCAAATGAGAAAATGGTAAAATGGTCTTTTACCCTTTAGGAAGTTGGTTTATGGAGTGGGCCTCGGATTTTGGATTATCAGGATAATTATTAATTACGATTGTATTTTGTTAGTTGGCACAAGGTTATCCGGTTCAACAACCCGAGCAGGCATTTGATTATCGGTGGATTGAGGTGAGTCTTTCCTCACTGTATTTGTGGGCCGAAGGCATCAAGGCCGGCCCTTTAGATTTTATATCATGTTATGTGATAGTATGCACCGTGTTGTAGTGATTTGTTAGATCGGTATCCTGATATATAGGATGATGTTATGCTTAGTGATCCATACATCTGTCTGACTGTCAGTAGACTGTTTATATGGTTATTTGTTATATGGGCACATATTATGGGTGGTCGTGGCTTTACTGCTATGTGTGTGAGCCAACAAACCGGAGGCATTCCAAACCGATGGTTGATTGGGCCGAGGGTATTCCATCACGATGATAATTGGACCCATTATATATATTCGCATTCCAACCTGGGGTATTCCATCTCGATGAACTAATGATTGGACCTGGAGGTTGACTGGATTCCGATAAACTAATTACTTATTTGCTCAAAATAATTGAATTTAATGTTCTAATTTTGGTTCAAACGAAAGAAAATGTGTAGTTGAAATAACTCATTCAGAACATTTTTAAAGACGAGACTCGGGTCGTACTATATGGAAATTAACCCAACTTAAAAGGTTTTTATAATTATACCCATTTTTCGCGCACGAGGATCCCTCTTCTCAAAACAAGAGGTTACCTCGGCTTTGCTGATTTGGGTTTACACTTTACAGCGCTCATTGCTGGTTGGAGTGTCAGTATTTTCTTTGAATTCAGGCGAACGACGACGAACGTAACTAGGGCCATCACTCCCGTGTGTAGTTCCCAGTGGTATTATATCTCCTTTCTTGTGCTCTACTGATTTTAGCAATTAGGTTTTTACAAAATAGCTACTGTAAGTTACTCCACAACCAAATTGAAATTGGTAACCATTATCAAACACCGTTCCATACGATCTTATCTATGTAATAGCTATGTCTTCAATTATTCATGTTCATATGCCCAAAATCGAACTACGAATGAAACCCTAATTCCGCAATTGAATATAGTCTACCCTTACGATCTTTTGATAATACATGCTTATGTTAACATGCCCCAAATTTGCTGTTGTGGTCCTCCTTAAGAGCGAGTATGTCTTTCACTATGCTTCAGATTGCACCATGAATTTCAATTAGGCAGATTTATGGTCTACCACTGTATTATCTTTGATTATGGTTTAGTTTTCTTGCAACTTTTTCATGTTAATTTTAGTTATGGAAATATAGAGCTTTATGTTAAATAACAAAATCAAACAACATATCTTCTAAATTAAAATCCCTTAATAATAGGGAATCATTAAAACAAGCTACCTAACACAATCACTTGTGAGTCATCATCATCTTCGAGTATTTCATGTGAATACTTTATGTTTTGCAGTGTAGCTGTAGCGAATACATGATGAAACGAATGATGCCATGGAGCGACGATGATGATGATGATTCTTCATCTGATGAGTCTTCAAGTCCTGATTCAGATGCTTCCGATAATGAAGAAAAACCAAAAAAGAACAAAAAGATCGTTTCTGGTGGTGGATCTGGATCTGGATCTGGATCATCCAAATCTAAAGGTAATAATTTAATAAATCTTTCTTTTCTTAAACAATCGTGCATCATCGTCTCCCTTGATAAGCCTAGTTTTTTGTTGTATCTATTCTATGCAGTTGAATCTGTAAAGCGGAAGAGCAAAGGGATAGACTTTGAAGCGCTGAGTCAGCACGGGTATCGGGGCGGGTTATCGGTCCTAAAAGTCCCTCCACCAAAAGAAAACGACAAGGACCGTGATTGGTCGTGGTCAACCGGGCAGGGGCAGGACAGGCGGGCAGCAAATGAGACGGAAGAGAGCTACCAAGATCGACAGAAGACGAGAGCCATGTTGCTTGAAGGAGAACAGTTGGTTCATGCACCAACACAGAAAGAGAAAAACTTGTTAAGTTTCTCACAGAAGGAAAAGAGGAAAAGGGATATGGGGCAGGCTAGTAGGGGTAAAAGCTATGTTGAAGAAGAGAAGAGATTGTTGAGGGAAAATGGGATTTACTCTGGTTTTGATGCTTGACACTTTATGATGTACAATTACAGTTACAAACTGGTGATGTAACATGCATCTTACACTTGTACCCATGCCATTTGTCCTTGTACTCTTTCAACTTATGGGGAAAAAAACAAGTATTGCCTTTGAACTTGATTTTGATTACTCTTAATACTCTATTTTGAAAATATTAATCAAAATTATGTTCTTTAAAGCAAGTTAAGTTTGAGTTTGATCAAGAAATAAAACTCGATAAAAGTAACCTGAGTTCATACATCCAAACTTGATTTAGATAAAATTAAGACAAAACTTCAAAAATGGTCCCTGTGATTTTCGAAAATATCAAGTTTAATCCCTAAGTTCAAAAAACCTTACAGATGGTCCCAGTGGTTTCAAAACTTTTAACATTTGGTCATTCCGGCTCACCCCGTTACCATTTAGCCGTTAAGTAAGGGGTATTTTTGTCATTTCATTACCCAGGGACCATTTATGAGGTTTTTTATTACTTTTTTTAAAATAAATAAATAAATAAATAAAATTTAATATGCAAGGGTCCCACCTACCTCTCTCTCTCTCTCTCTCTCTCTCTCTCTCTCTCTCTCTCTCTCTCTCTCTCTCTCTCTCTCTCTCTCTCTCTCTCTCTCTCTCTCTCTCGGGTCTAAGAGATGCATCAAACAGGTTGCACAATGTGATGGTTAGTTTGTACTCCTTTGACTTTCAACAAGCCCAACATTGGAGAAATTGACTCCACTTTCCCATTCACCATTCTTCTAAGATTACAAGACTCGATCCAGGTATTCATGCTCCAGTTGAAGAAACCCACCATCGCAACAGGTCCTTGTAAGTTTTGTTCAACAGAGAAGAAAGGTAGCGGAGAACCTCCGACTTCCCTCCCGTTTCCTTCTGTTTTTGAATCCCAAGCAAATCCCTCGTTATATCCTTCTTCATCCATTGAGTTTCAGGTAGAGATTTTCCTGCAAAATCACAGGGTAAAAACGCCTATTGTTTTCCATTTTTTTCACTAATTCTCCACAAACTGAATACATCTCTAGTTTCTCCATGCCCTGTTACTCTTGTACTCCAGACACCGTCTTTTTCTCCATCTCGAGTCATTTTAGTTGACATGGCGAAAGAAGAATGGGGTGTTGGTGGGTATGGATCAATGAAAGGTTTGATCAGACTTTGTTCTCCTGAAATGACGAAGAGGATGAAGAAGGTGGGTCAAGTGAAGGCGATGTGGAGGAACATTTGGAGGTGGATAGGAGTCGATGATAAGATACACATATAGCTCAACTGGAGGAGCATTACTGATTTTCGTCATCTTCATCCAATTCTGGTTTATTGATTGGTTTAATTTTGGATCTATCTAATGTGATTGACATTTGTTGTATTTTCTAAAATGTTCGCCATTGATATGATATGAATTAGGGCAGATTAACAAAATTGGGGTTTTTTTATAAGGGTTGTAGGTAAAACTTTTGATTTCTTCCATGGATTGTAGTTCCGGAAATGCACACACATTTGCTTTGAGAGAGAGAGAGAGAGAGAGAGAGAGAGAGAGAGAGAGAGAGAGAGAGAGAGAGAGAGAGGTGGGACCCCTTGCATATTAAATTTTATTTATTTTCTAAAAAGTAATACAAAACCTCATAAATGGTCCCTGGGTAGTGAAATGACAAAAATACCCCTTACTTAACGGCTAAATGGTAACGGAGTGAGCCGGAATGACCAAATGTTAAAAGTTTTGAAACCAGAGGGACCATCTGTGAGGTTTTTTGAACTTAGGGATTAAACTTGATATTTTCGAAAACCACAGGGACCATTTTTGAAGTTTTGTCTAAAATTAATGACTGTTTTGCAAGTATTCGATAAAGCAATCTTGATACCAGTAATTGAATAGCTTGAAAATGTTTATCAGAATTATGTTTGTTAAAACAAGTTAAACTTGAGTTTGATCCGATACAATAATTATTCAACGCATGCATAAGCTTAAAAAGCTCAATAAAAAAACCGACGTGTATTTATTAACGGGATTTACATGAAGGTGCGACTCTTTCCGGTTTTATCCTTGTCATATTCATGGACTCTTTTTAAGTTTTCAACATTTTCTTTTAAGTTTTCGATATACCCCAAATACATTTTGTTTGGGATTAAACAATATGTAGTTGTACCGGTCCTTAGCTTGTACCGAGTCTTCAGGTAGAACAAGTAGCATGGCTTCTTTCATGGGTCACGTGGGTATGTAAAATGGCTATATATAGCCTTTAGTGCTATGAATAAAATGTAGTTTTTTCTGGTTTTTTACTCTTCACATTGCTGCACATTTAATTAGAAAAAACCTTTCTTCTTCCTGTCTTCATACATTACGTGAGTTTGTTGTGTGTGTTTTAAAGGACCTGTGCCAACAATTGGTATTAGAGCTTAGGTCTCGTGAAGAGGAACCAGGGCCGGTTTGAGAGTCGGTTTCACAAAAGGGGGTAGCACTTTGCTGCAGGGCTGATGCAGCAGGAAACCGGGTTGCTGGTGAAGAGGGTGATGGATCGTCGGTAGTGGGTTGATCACAACTGGTCTTAGCAGCTGTTGTCGGCGAGGTTTGCAGGTGAGGTAGCCGGTGGATCGAAGGTAAACCGAGGCTATGAAGGTGTTGGTGTTCGTCACTGGTTAATGGCGGAGAAGGTTTTTCAGTTGATGGGTTTCTTTGCCGGATGTCATTAGTTTTTGGTGGTGTCCGACAAGGTGGTGATTCCGGCGGTAGGTTGTGGGTATGTCACCGGAAAATGGAGAGAGTTACCGGAGATGCATGAGAAAACGAACAGAAAAGATCCGTCAAGCAGGTGGCTTTGGGTTTGTTTCGTTTTGCAGGTGAAAGAAGACGGGAAAAGCTGGTTGCTTTGTTTTTCTTGATCGGTGGAAGAAAGCTCTTGTTTCACAGAAGTGTTAGGTGAAAACGGATTATGTGTGGTGACAAACAACAACCGGGTATGGAGGACTTTGGACGTGACCGAGGTGAAGGTCGGGTGTCCGGGAAAAGTCGTGAATGGGTGGAGACTTTGGACGTGACTGAGGTTGTGGTCGGGTGTCTGGGAAAGGTCGAGAATGAAGATGAAAAGATGGTGATTAATGGCTGCTGTGAACAAGTGGTATGACGAAACCGGTTAAGGGGGTGATTGTTGGATTAATCGGTTCGGTTGTCATTGATTCACCCGTTATATGCATGATTGGAACTTTAGTTTTAATGAGTATTTATGAATTTATATGTTATGTTTTAATTAGTAGTTTATTATTTAGAATTTAGTTTCTAGTTTGACCGAAGTATATGGAGTTGTACCGGTCCTTAGCTTGTACCGAGTCTTCAGGTAGAACAAGTAGCATGGCTTCTTTCATGGGTCACGTGGGTATGTAAAATGGCTATATATAGCCTTTAGTGCTATGAATAAAATGTAGTTTTTTCTGGTTTTTTACTCTTCACATTGCTGCACATTTAATTAGAAAAAACCTTTCTTCTTCCTGTCTTCATACATTACGTGAGTTTGTTGTGTGTGTTTTAAAGGACCTGTGCCAACAATTGGTAGCAGAGCTTAGGTCTCGTGAAGAGGAACCAGGGCCGGTTTGAGAGTCAGTTTCAAAAAGGGGGTAGCACTTTGCTGCAGGGCTGATGCAGCAGGAAACCGGGTTTCAGGTGAAGAGGGTGATGGATCGTCGGTAGTGGGTTGATCACAACTGGTCTTAGCAGCTGTTGTCGGCGAGGTTTGCAGGTGAGGTAGCCGGTGGGTCGAAGGTAAACCGAGGCTATGAAGGTGTGGTGTTCGTCACTGGTTAATGGCGGAGAAGGTTTTTCAGTTGATGGGTTTCTTTGCCGGATGTCATTAGTTTTTGGTGGTGTCCGACAAGGTGGTGATTCCGGCGGTAGGTTGTGGGTATGTCACCGGAAAATGGAGAGAGTTACCGGAGATGCATGAGAAAACGAACAGAAAATATCCGTCAAGGAGGTGGCTTTGGGTTTGTTTCGTTTTGCAGGTGAAAGAAGACGGGAAAAGCCGGTTGCTTTGTTTTTCTTGATCGATGGAAGAAAGCTCTTGTTTCACAGAAGTGTTAGGTGAAAACGGATTCTGTGTGGTGACAAACAACAACCGGGTATGGAGGACTTTGGACGTGACCGAGGTGAAGGTCGGATGTCCGGGAAAAGTCGTGAATGGGTGGAGACTTTGGACGTGACTGAGGTTGTGGTCGGGTGTCCGGGAAAGGTCGAGAATGAAGATGAAAAGATGGTGATTAATGGCTGCTGTGAACAAGTGGTATGACGAAACCGATTAAGGGGGTGATTGTTGGATTAATCGGTTCGGTTGTCATTGGTTCACCCGTTATATGCATGATTGGAACTTTAGTTTTAATGAGTATTTATGAATTTATATGTTATGTTTTAATTAGTAGTTTATTATTTAGAATTTAGTTTCTAGTTTGACCGAAGTATATGGAGTTGTACCGGTCCTTAGCTTGTACCGAGTCTTCAGGTAGAACAAGTAGCATGGCTTCTTTCATGGGTCACGTGGGTATGTAAAATGGCTATATATAGCCTTTAGTGCTATGAATAAAATGTAGTTTTTTCTGGTTTTTTACTCTTCACATTGCTGCACATTTAATTAGAAAAAACCTTTCTTCTTCCTGTCTTCATACATTACGTGAGTTTGTTGTGTGTATTTTAAAGGACCTGTGCCAACAATTGGTATCAGAGCTTAGGTCTCGTGAAGAGGAACCAGGGCCGGTTTGAGAGTCGGTTTCACAAAAGGGGGTAGCACTTTGCTGCAGGGCTGATGCAGCAGGAAACCGGGTTTCAGGTGAAGAGGGTGATGGATCGTCGGTAGTGGGTTGATCACAACTGGTCTTAGCAGCTGTTGTCGGCGAGGTTTGCAGGTGAGGTAGCCGGTGGGTCGAAGGTAAACCGAGGCTATGAAGGTGTTGGTGTTCGTCACTGGTTAATGGCGGAGAAGGTTTTTCAGTTGATGGGTTTCTTTGCCGGATGTCATTAGTTTTTGGTGGTGTCCGACAAGGTGGTGATTACGGCGGTAGGTTGTGGGTATGTCACCGGAAAATGGAGAGAGTTACCGGAGATGCATGAGAAAACGAACAGAAAAGATCCGTCAAGCAGGTGGCTTTGGGTTTGTTTCGTTTTGC